ACACACACACACACACACACACACACACACGAGCGTCGACGGGCGGAAACTAAGTGGGGGGGGGGACACTCACCTTGCGATGGTAGACGGCCAGCAAAAACGAAGACGACAGGAGGTTGGATGAGCGCGTCAAGAAAAATGGCGGCGGCGCGTCAACAAGAACGCTGTTCGAAATTGAATTCAAATTTCCAGCGCCAAACTGCTGCAGGGGCATCACAGGAAGATGGGTGCTCCTTACGAGGGCATATGGCACATAGCCCAATGAAATGGGACCGCCGGTTGAGGGAGGGCCGGTTGAGGGAGGGCGTCATGGAAAGTTGCGCCACTACCGACGGGGGCCTGCCAGAAAGATTTTCAGGCCCAGGGGCGCCGCAGGGTATTTCGCATGTCGGAGGGGTGCGACGCAAATAAATGGAAAATACAGGGGCGCCAGACAAATTTTCCCTTCTTTTTTTTGTTTCTACAAAAAACGAATTCATTTCATTCCAAAAAAAGGGGGACAAGGACGCCGGTATAGCCCCTTGACAGTGAATCCTCCAGTACAACATGGAAAGATACACCGCTATATTTGTCGTGTTATGTGCATGTATTTGGTGATGGACGCAGGCCCGGTGTCCCGTGCCACAGCCGGCATTGACTCCTGTGCCAGAGCCGTGGGACCACGCAGACACAGGTGGGCCAGACTGCAGCGAAATGTAAAACTGCGTTGTGCCTCACGCAATGGGGCAGACAGACTGCAGCGAAATGTGAAACTGCGTTGTGCCTCACGCAATGGGGCAGTGTCGCCAACGATCGACAATCTACTGGACGATGAAGGTGGGGAGATTATGCTGGTCGAGAGAGAGAGAGAGAGCTGCTCCTCCATAGCTGGGCACACAGAGAGAGAGAGAGAGAGGGAGAGAGCGGCTCCGCCGTAGACGGGCAGAGAGGGAGAGAGAGGGCTGCTCCGCCATAGCAGGGCACAGAGAGAGAGAGAGAGAGAGAGAGAGAGAGAGAGAGAGAGAGAGAGAGAGGAGATGATGATGGTGATGAATAAGCCCAACAAACTGATCAGGCCAAGTGGGGTGATGGACGGACTGAGGGTTGCTTGCGTTACAAAACTGACTGCCTACGCCGCTGGTTGGTGGTGCTCTGCTCGAGTTCTGGGTGATTCATGATATAAGTTGTCGAGGCTCATTTGTGTCATATGCTGTCCGCGCGAACACTCGATTGATAGTCTTCCGTTGTGACTCTGGCTGTGGCTTCCCTTGTTTGACTCTCTCTCTCTCTCTCTCTCTCTCTCTCTCTCTCTCTCTCTCTCTCTCTCTCTCTCTCTCTCTCTCTCTCTCTC